AACCCCACAACTGAATCATTAAACCTTCATTTATCTCCTAACAAAATGTCTTTATGGTGCATCTCATGTATCCTCCATCTGCTACAGTACGTGTGGCCACTACTGCTTTATGTCTTTCTTCACTTCCAATTCCGCCCTATCAGAGATTTGGGAAAATTCCACTTCCCTCTCTAACCCTACAGCGCTTTCATTGGCAATCACTTGTACCTGCAGCGCTTCATTCCTGCAGTCTGGACAAAGCCACCGCATCCCTTCCAACTGTGACCTATCGTGACCTATCTGTTGCATCTGCTGTTGGGCAACGGCCAGCTTCACATATGTAGCCGTATATTCCCCTCTCGCTCTCTCTGCCAATTATTATCTACCTGTTCCGGCCCCGTCAGCTGACAAGACACCTATTGAGTTCACTTTCCCCATGAGCTCAGCTCTTGCTGCAGTCAGCTGTAGCGTTGCTCGCTGCTTATCATTCTGATACTTTCTCTGTGTGTCGCGTCGGCTGCCGGGGTTCCCTGCTTCTATCCCATCTGTCCAGAGAATTAATCCCCCACATGCTCTAAAAAAAACTATTTTGAGTGTCTAACGGGTTTGCAACTGATCAACTGGAAGAAGTCACAAATCAGCCCTTTTGATACATCATATTAGGCCGAAGTGATCTAAAACTTTTTTTTTTTCATTTCATTATTGGCAATCAAATCTGTTTCTTATTTTCTATTATAGTGCTCACTTCCTGTCTCCGTTTAGCAAGTGAACTCACTCAAAAAAAAAAATTGAACTTAATTACATTAAGCATTATGCTTCCTCTAGTCTGTGGCAAACCGTTTCTTCTGATATGCATTAGCAATTTTTTGCTTGGTCATATAAACATATGCTAACTTTTTGAGAGCAGCTATATCAGATCTTCACTAAGAACTGTGAATAAAGTTACATCAAAATGCACCATTGAGTTTAAAATTCACAACCTACCTATGGTCATAGCTGTGGGTTCTATTAGCACTCGTTTACCATCAATTAGCACAATGTGTCTGTCCTCCCCTTTTCTGGACAAAACTGGGCAAGATACAGATGTGATGCCAGATGATCTTCTGAGTAAATTAGGTTGCCAACTTTCCAGTCAGACCACACCTGTGGTTTATCACTATTACAAATTATTATCTGGATATCACGCTAGATGCAAAACATATTAAAATAAAGAAATTCCTTCTTTATGCCATCTTCTCTAGAAATACTATGAAATTCAACACTCAACAACAGTCAGTGGATCCAACACATTTTAACTTGGGTCTTAATTTATTGGTACTTACTCATTTGCATACATTTTTCATGTTGTTTTGCTTGCTTGTCCATTTATTTATTTTGATGCACTCAACATCAAAAGACCGTGTGCTGTTTTTTTTCCACATTTCGCTGTTTATTCTCACTCATTCATTAGCCAGCTAACTGAAATATGCATATCATGTGGAAAACCATGTCCTACATTCAACTGATTTGAGAAAAGTTCATCAGGGCAGTCATATTGAGTATACATTTTAATATTTAATATTCCCAAACATTGCAATATTTCAACATGAAGCTTAAACTGACAAGCTGCAACATCCAGGCGTATCTTGTAACTTTGTGTCTGGCGAGCATGTGTACATGACATGTCTATCTGACTTATTCCTAAAGGGATAGTTCACTCAAAAATGAAAATTCTGTCATCATTTACTCATGACTTTCTTTCTTTTTTAATGTGGAACATCAAAGAAGATATTCTGAGAAAAGCTTCTGTCTCTATGTTTCTTGTCCATACAATAGAATTCAATGGTCACCAGAACTGTTTGGTTAGTTCCTCAAAACATCATCTTTTGTGTTCAACAGTAGAAAGAAAGTCACATAGATTTAGAATGAGTTGGTTTACATTTTTGGCTGAACTATCCCTACATATACCTTATTCTGAAGGCACAACAAAACTTGTTTCACACTCAATAACTCGCATTCAATTCACTGCCTATATAATTTACATTAGGAGTGTTAAATATGACTTTACTGCTGAAGCCTGTTAGCTGAGATGAGGAGAAAAAAAAAGAGAGAGAGGCCGAGAGACACAGACATTCAACCTTGCCTCTCTCAAGGACATCACAGGGCACAGTGAAGCACAACAATACATTGTGCATGTTTAGTATCAGGATTTGGAATAATATTGTTCAAGTGATATACTATAATAATATATACTGTCTGCATGCTTACTCTGTCACACTAACGCTGACAAGAACCATATCCACTTTTCAAAAGACAGTCATCACATCACTCATGAAAAGACTTCTTGTTGTAGACTGTATAGAAAGCTTAGATTTAGTCACACATATTATTACGTCTCAAACATATATAAGGTGAGATTTTTTCAGGTGAATATTACGGTAGATTTATTTTCTCAAGTCTATCATTTAAAAGGCAAGTCTTGCTCCAAAAAAGCTATTGAACATTTCCTCTGCCAAGAAAAAGGTTCAATGAAGACACATTGATCACATTGACCTTTTGCGACAGAGCAGGCATGTTGTCGCACTATATGGGGTAAGTTGTCACAATAGAACTTGGCATTAAACAGGCTTTCATAGGTTGTTTGGCGATATTTTAAAGAGTATTAGAATTACGAAATGCAAAACAATGAATGAAGCATGATAAAAGTATAAGGTATAAAATATCAAACCATTATTTTGACCAACAAATAGCCTATTTTAAAACAAAAACAAGTTCTATATATATTTTTTTTTTTTACATTTTTTTGATCTAGGTGTTTGAAACCAATGAACACATTTGCTTAACTGAACATTGGACTCAAAACCTTATAGTTACTGAGATAAAGCGCTTCTCCTGTGTGACAACTAGCCCCGGTCTCCACAGGCCTATTATCCGAATCAAATTATCTGCCATTGATATTCTGGTCCATTTTCTGTAGGTTGCTTCAGACCTTTGTCAGTGCAGCCGTAAGACATTAAGCGTGTTAATTATCAGAACGTGGATGCTATGTTGACTTCTTCATTGGAGTCATAAATATACATATGATCTGAAATGCTGGAAATGTTGCCACTGTTGGAACATAATGCATCCCCACCCGGCTTTCATGAGCAATACTTCAGGCTGCAATTATCCCCTTCAATCATACTCATTCATTTAATGTCAGATCTCTCCCCTATACAAATGAAACCTAATATTGAAAGGGGCAAGGTCAATGAATTCCGTCTGATTTAGCCTTGCTCCTGTCTGCTATGCATAGACACGCTCGCCCTGCGCACGCCCACAGTCCAAGTAACCCCTACACTTCCCTCACCACGCGACCGATACGTCACAGTGATGTTGACGATTACATAAAATGTGATTATTGCCCAATCATGTCGCATCGGATTCGCGTTGAGCCATTAACACCTTTAGAAGCAAGACTGATGATGTATATGTGTAAAAGCAACGTGAGAGTGTACAGCGAGTGCGCCCGGCTTTGGGGAGTCTGCACGCGCATCACGTATAATTGCGAATCCTGTCAATCCAATTATCTGTAGATTACATTTCTACATTGCGTCCGATAAGCAAAGGCTGATATCAGATGCTCCGGGTCTCCGGGGGGAATAAGGGAAGTCTTGCACTGATTTCGGTCGGAAGGACTTTTAGGATGAAGCAAGTGAAGAAGACGCGCGTCTTTGGGTTGGGTGATGAGGTTGCTGATATATAGGCTATATATATATTTTACAAACATGTTAATGTACATT